ATCCAACCTAGTTGTTTTTTAGGATTGCTGTTAAGAATCATAGAATCATGCAGCACAGAAAGAGGGCATTCGGCCCATCGTGTCTGTGCCGGCTCCGAAAAGAGATTCCAACTCAATCCCACTGGTCCGCTTTCTCTCCATAGCCCTGCAATCTTGTCCTCCTCAAATACCATCTGCTTCTTAAGTAGTGCAACAAATGGAAATGGAAGTTTGTGTGTGCTCCAACATGGTTTATTACAACCCCAAAGGTTGTGTCCTTTGAAAATGCAGTTAATTGGAACAGGAAACCAGATTTGGGGGGCATGTGAGATTGTAAAAATGTGAAATGGATTCCTTAGTATTTCTCAAGACGACTTTATTGAGGATTGTTTTGGTTGCATCAGGTAGGGTTGAGCGGCAGGAATAGAAGAAACCTGGTTGCGTGTTTTATTTGTTATTGAAAGACTTACCTTACCTTACCTTATCACTGTTTAATACAGTTATTAGTTACCAGGTCAAAACGTTCTTGACCATTGTAATATAGCTTGATACAGAAAGATTTTATGTGATATATTTTCTCATGCTCTTTTAATATTTTTCTTCAAGTCTTTGCATTTTAAATTTGTTATCGAATCTTCTTCAATAGCCATGCGTGCTAAAGCATTGCATTGTACAACAATATGGATGTTGATCTACATTTTCTTTTACTGTATTTGAATCATAATGTTTATCTTTCATGAACACAAACAAAGCTAAATGAAAGCACCTTCCATTCCCCAGTAATCAAGATGTTGGAAAATATACTAATTCATATTGGGCCATATCTGTGCATTATTTACAAGATCACAAGATTGGTTTGGATGAAGAAGGCCCTTCGGCCCATTTGATCTCGGCCCTCATGAACACCCACTGTATCAGCCCCCCATCACTGCATCAAGCTACATTTTCAATGAATCTAGTTTTCTGGCATTTACCACCTTTCCTGGCACCATTCTAACCCCTCTAAAAACAGTTGTCATCACTCCTATACTTAAAAAAAAACGTCCCTGGACCCATCCCCGCCCTCAAACGCCCACCCTATTTCCAAGGTCCTGGAATGAGTTGTTGCTTCCCAGCTTTGCTCCTTCCTCTTCCGCCACTCGCTTCACGGGCTCCCTCTTGGTGTCATCATCCGCAGACATGGGGTCAATTCCCACATGTATGCAGATGACACCCAACTCTACCTCTGCCTCCACCCTTGACTCCAGGACCATTGCTGTCCTGACAGACTGTCTGTCAGACATCAAGTCCTGGATGAGAGTGAACTTTCTTCAGTTGAACATCAACAAGACCGAGGTTCCTGATTGGCTCCCGTCAGCACCTCCTCACCTCAGGCGCTGACAGCATCACCATCTCTGGCCGCACACTCCACCTCACTAACCCAGTCCGGAACCTTGGACCCTCAACTATCCTTTCTACCCCACATCTGTGCCATGGTAACCCCCCGCCCCCCCCCCGTGTCCTGGTAACCCCCCGCCCCCCCCTGTGTCCTGGTAACCCCCCCCCCCCCGTGTACTGGTAACCCCCCCCCCCCCGTGTCCTGGTAACCCCCCCCCCCCCCCCCCCCCGTGTCCTGGTAACCCCCGCCCCCCCCTGTGTCCTGGTAACCCCCGCCCCCCGTGTCCTGGTAACCCCCGCCCCCCCCCTGTGTCCTGGTAACCCCCCGCCCCCCCCCTGTGTCCTGGTAACCCCCCCCCCCCCTGTGTCCTGGTAACCCCCCGCCCCCCCCTGTGTCCTGGTAACCCCCCGCCCCCCCCTGTGTCCTGGTAACCCCCCGCCCCCCCCTGTGTCCTGGTAACCCCCCGCCCCCCCCTGTGTCCTGGTAACCCCCGCCCCCCCCCCTGTGTCCTGGTAACCCCCGCCCCCCCTGTGTCCTGGTAACCCCCCCCCCCCTGTGTCCTGGTAACCCCCCGCCCCCCCCCTGTGTCCTGGTAACCCCCCGCCCCCCCCCTGTGTCCTGGTAACCCCACCCCCCCCCTGTGTCCTGGTAACCCCACCCCCCCCCCTGTGTCCTGGTAACCCCACCCCCCCCGTGTCCTGACCCCCCCCCCCGTGTCCTGGTAACCCCACCCCCCCCGTGTCCTGATAACCCCCCCCCCCTGTGTCCTGGTAACCCCCCCCCCCGTGTCCTGTAACCCCCCCCCCTGTGTCCTGGTAACCCACCCCCCCCGTGTCCTGATAACCCCCCCCCCCTGTGTCCTGGTAACCCCCCCCCCCCCCCGTGTACTGATAACCCCACCCCCCCCTGTGTACTGATAACCCCACCCCCCCCCTGTGTCCTGGTAACCCCCCCCCCCCCGTGTACTGATAACCCCACCCCCCCCTGTGTCCTGGTAACCCCGCCCCCCCGTGTGTCCTGGTAACCCCGCCCCCCGTGTGTCCTGGTAACCCACCGCCCCCGTGTCCTGTAACCCCCCCCCCCTGTGTCCTGGTAACCCGCCCCCCCCCCCCCCCCCCCCCCCCCCCCGTGTCCTGGTAACCACCGCGCCCCCGTGTCCTGGTAACCCCCCCCATGTCTTGGTAACGCCGCCCCCCCCCCCTGGTAAACCCGCCCCCCTGTGTCCTGGTATCCCCGCCCCCCTGTGTCCTGGTAAATGCCCGACCCCTCTTGTGTCCTGGTAACCCGCCCCTCCGTGTCCTGGTAACCCCCCCCCCCCCCCGTGTCCTGGTAAACCCCCGCCCTCCCTGTGTTCTGGTAACCCCGCCCCCTGTGTTCTGGTAACACCCCCCCCCCACGTGTCCTGGTAACCCCGCCCCCTTCCCCCCGTGTCCTGGTAACCCCCCCCCCGTGTCCTGGTAACCCCGCCCCCTGTGTCCTGGTAACCCCGCTCCCTCCCCCCCCGTGTCCTGGTAACCCCCCCCCCCGTGTCCTGGTAACCCCCCCCCCGTGTCCTGGTAACCCCCCCTATGTTCTGGTAACCCCGCCCCCTCCCCCCTGTGTCCTGGTAACCCCGCCCCCTCCCCCCTGTATCCTGGTAACCCCCCCCTGTGTCCTGGTAACCCCCCCCCCCCTGTGTCCTGGTAACCCCACCCCCTGTGTCCTGGTAACCCCGCCCCCTTCCCCCTGTGTCCTGGTAACCCCCCCCCCCCTTTCTCATGTCCTGGTGACCCTCTCCCCCCCCCCCTCCCGTGTAATGGTTACCCTTCCCCCCCATGTCCCACAGTCATGGTGAACTCCCCTATGTCATGGTGACCAGGGTTGACTGCAGTGTTCAAGGTGCAATTTGACCAGAACATCACAATAATAATCCTTGCATTTTTAATCCTTGTATTTGATATAGTGCTCAATCATGTCTTGGAGACGTCTCAAAGCGCTTCACAGGTTATACTGTCAAATGGATGTATGTACACCTGAGAATGATATCTGGAGATCTAAACTCAACTGATTTTAGCAATATAGCCCATCATTCCGTTTGCCTTGTTTATTTTTGCCTTGCAATGTTTTGATATGGTGAGCAACGATTCAATTAAGTGCCTCCGGCTGCTCGAGCTCAGAGTTTCTGAGCTTGAGGAGAGGCTGGTATTACTATACAGCATACGTGAGACTAAAGAGTTCATGGATAGAACGTTTCAGGAGGTGATCACCCCAAGCCACAGAGGTTTCAGAAGAAGAGTAAGTAAAAGGACCGCCTGGCATGGTAGGGAGACGGGACAGGCATGGCAGAAATCTTCCGAGAGTGTGGCGCTCACAAACTATCTGTACTAAATACCGGTGAGGGCGACAATACCTCTGGGGAGGGCAGTTGAGAGCAAATCGATGCACCCGGGGATACAGGGAAGAGAATCAATGTCCTGTTCCTCTAAGTAGAGATTTATTCTGTCCCGGATTATGGTCTCCTGTTAATAAAGCATACGGGATATTAGGCTTTATAAATAGGGGCATAGGATACACTAGTCAGGAAGTTATGCTGAACCTTTATATAAAACACTGGTTAGGCTTCAGCAGGAGACTGCATTCAGTTCTGGGCATCACACTTTAGGAAGGATGTCAAGGCATTGGAGGGGGTGTAAAGGAGATTGACCAGAATGGTACCAGGAATGAGCGACTTCAGTTTTCAGGAGAGACGAGAGAAGCCGGGATTATTCTCCTTGGAGCAGAGGAGGCTAAGTGTTAAGAGTTAGATAGGGTGAACAGGGAGAAATTATTTCCACTGACGGGTGGATCGGTAACCAGAGGGCACCGATTCAGAGTCCTGTAGCTCAGTGGTTAGAGCACTCGCTTTGCAAGTGAGAGACCTGAGTTCAATTCCAGGCAGAGGGCGAAACCTTGGGCAAGTTTCCTTACTCCACACACCTAATAATAGTCCCTCCAAAACCCAAAACAATAATAAATTGGTCATTTTCAATCCATGACTGTTTGTGGGACATTGCTGTGCGCAATTGGCTGCTGCGTTCGCCCACAAATATACAGTCAATTCACTTTACAGTGTGTTCTGTGAAGCGCTTTGGGACGTCCTCCCGACGTGAAAAGCGCTATATCAAGTGCAAGGATTATTATTATTATTATTATTAAGATAGTTGCCAGAAGAACCAGAGGGGAGATGAGGAGAATTTTTTTCACACAGCGAATTGTTGGGATCTGGAAATCATTGCCTGAAAGGGTGTTGGAAGCCAATTCGATAACCACTTTTAAGAGAGAAGTAGATAGATATTTGGGGAGGACAAATTTACAGGGCTATGTGGAGAGCGCAGGGGGGTGGGGTTAATTTAGACAGCTCTTTCAAAGAGACGGCACAGACACAATGGGCTGTATGGCCTCATGTGCTGAATAATTCTAGGATTTTATAGGACGCTATCTTGCATTTATCAGTATTAAACTTAATTTGCCAGTTATTGGCCCTTAGTATCTCTGTCACTTTTGATCTTGCTCTCCTTCAATTCAATCCATTGAGTCCAAGCCCATGTCTTGGCCTTGATACCCAGTTGTATGGAAGCCCTGCTGCATTTTTAGATATTGCTGAGACTTACCTCTTGTTTTGCAGGTTACTTTGGCTGCTGCTGGACTCAGTTACCCGTGCCATCGATTAACAGTCAGTAAAAGGCCTTCACCTGCACAGACGCGAGAACAATCTGAGGAGGTAAAACATTTTTTAAGTGTTTTGTTCACTATGTGATACAGAGGGAGTGAGGCAAAGGAGTACAGGGAGGGACTTTGAGTTTATCAACGTAGTGACTGAAGGCTTCAATTTCTGAAGCAAAATCCTCTTAACTTGGATTTGGACAAAGTAAAACAACTATACAATTTTTTCAAATACTTATTGGAAGTTTGCAATTTTTTTTAAAAGAGGGTATTGTCTGGAGGCCTCTCCTGAGCACATTTACAGATTGTAAACTAATTCTCAAAGTCATTTTTTTAACCAAAAATTATATTGAGTTTTACTGTACCTCAACAACAACAAATTACATTTGTATAATGCCTTCCACGTCAGGAGGACATCCCAAGGTGCTGGACCTCCTGTTGAATGTGTTGCTGTGAGAAACCACCTCCACTAAATTGCAGTTTGTAAACTGAAGAAAGCTTTATTCAAGGAAAACTATGAAGTAACATTGTCATGATTTGTTATAGCCATTGCAGAGATGACAGCTATTTCCAGAAAATAGGTTTGAAGTTGTATTGCCATTTGGAAGATGATCTACCTCCTGATATTGATGTTCCAAGAATTAATCATTGCCTTCCTAACCAATTGCCTGCTGCTTCAAGTGTCTGGGGTGAAAGCTACTGAAAATTAAAGTTTGCAGGTTTTCAAGTCATTTGGACCATTTCATAATAATTAGAAAATGGGCAACAGTTAATTATATTTAATAATAATGCTTGCATTTGATATAGCACTTTTCATGTCTTCTGAACGTCTCAAAGCGCTTCTCAGAATATATTGTAAGGCGAATTGACTGTCTATTTGTGGGTGAAACGTGGAACTAATTGTGCACAGCAGTGTCCCACAAACAGTCGTGGATTGACTGATCAAATTATTATTATTTTTTTTTAAGGATTATTTCCACAGAAAAGCGATCCACCAATTGACTAACAACCGGGTTCCTACTTACTGCTGGTAAACTTACGCGTGTGGAGTAAGGAAACTTGCCCAACATTTCGCCCTGCTGGGAATTGAAACAGGTCTCTCGCTTGCGAAGCGAGTGCTCTAACCACGAAGCTACAGGACTCCACAATTTGATTAGTAATCCTCATCACACTTGATGGGAATTCTTTGAGAGTTATTTAAAACTGTTTGAGAGTCTTTGATAATGATCTGTGTACTGAATAAATTTAGGATTTTTTAATTATTAGTTTAAAAACAAATCATCTGTTGCTATAATTACACGTATACTTTACATGGAACACCATTATCAAATGCAAATGTTATTACAATTACAATCCTAGGACTTCAGTATTACCCCATCACTTGCATGTTAGGAGTTTCAGAAGTGGAGGAGGAAGCAACAGATTTACATAGAAATATCAAAAGAAACAAAAATAGTTTTACCAGTTGGTTGCTACACCAGGATACTGCTGATGACAGCACAACCAAGCAGCGGAAGGGCAGACCTATCACTGAGGGTAGAGACTCTTAGCAGTTAGCTCCTGTTAACCCTGCAAGCCAAAGCCCTAATGGATAGGATGGTTCTCGCTGGACAAATAGCGGGAAAGCTTACCAAAAAGTGCCCTTGATAGCAAGCAAGCTGTGCGGTTTTAGCTGGTTCGACTCCAGCAGTACCCCAAGCTTTGGAGTCCCCAAGCCTGGGCTCTTGCCAACCTACGCCTAATACTTTCCTGAATTAGGTATACAAGATGCATCCCTCCAGGGAGAGAGTGCATTCCATTCCAATAAACATCTCTGGAATTTTCATGTATAGGTGAGATATATGGACTTCTGGTTTGGATACTCTTAAGCCTGGCGATGGGCTTACACATGTGTCAGCGACAAAAGCTCCTAAACACTGATTGTTTTGTCTTTATTAAGCTTCTTATAGAGAAAAGGGGAATGTATACCATCTTCTTGTGCAGTTTTTCATCACCTCATTTTTTCAAGTAAGCTTGCAGCTTTATTGCAATGGCTGCAGGTAATTAACTTTCCAGCCGAGCCAAAGATGATGCCATGAATAATTAATGACTAGAATTTATGTTGTCTTCAGATCATCAGTTTGCCTTGGGTTCTGTCGCTAAAGATTTAGCTCTGTTGCTCCTTGAATATAAATGAATGCCTCACCTTGCCAGGGTGTTAGAATCTTATTGATTATTTTTTCCACTCTGCCTGTTGGAATCACAACTTCTTTGCCTTTATCAGTAGATCAACATCACAATAGCATAATACACAGGCCTTTTTTCAAATAAAATTCTGTGAACACAAAATCGGAAAATATTGCAACAAAATAATAGTTCTTCCATTCTTGAATAAAACACCCACGGTAAGGTCACCTAATCACCTTACAGGATAGATGGCTGTTCTTCAACTTTTAGCAACTAAATGAAGCAAAGCTTAAGCAGGCGCAGTCTAAACTTTGGGAACTATTTACAAACTCTAACATCTGATTAGGCAAGAAGCTTCCTGTGAAAAGCAAAGAAAGTTTCAGGTGAGCTCCTCCACTCTGTCTCGCCCTCAAACAGCCAGATAGATAGGGATGGCGGCAGACCGAGGAGCTTGTCTCCGGGCTTGAGACGGTGGTGATGTGGGAAGATGAAGAGAAATGGAATTGGTGATTTAGAAAATAAATTGGACGTTGCCAGAAGAAATTTTAATTTGTCATGTTGTGTCATTTTACAATTATCAGAATTGTTCATCTTACGGCATTGACTGTATATTATGTTCCACATTGTAAATAGTTCATCGTTGGAACATGGAATGGAGTCATTAGTGATTCAACGTTAGATTAACTTGCATTATCTCTGTAGTTGATGAGGTACTAATTATTGTATAATATATAATTGTATATGAAATTTGAATTGTATTGTTTTGGACTTTTAATTAATTTTTTACGATTCTTTTCAACTCTTGAATGGTGGGACTTTTTTTTAAAGTGATTTTATTATTGCCCCCAAGTTAGTCTTAACAATTGTGCTATCAATGAAAAGTTAGATTAATCCTGTGTGGGGCTGCATTCTAGATACAATACTTTGATCTTTTGACAATGCTTTCAAGTTTAAAAATGAATCCCATAACCTGCAGCTTGTCACTACACTGTCATTCTATAATGTTTAGGCCATAGTGCAATGCATGTACAGTGGAATCTGATGCCGGTTAATCCCAAACGTCGGGTAAATCAAACAAAATTCCCAGTCCCGAATTATTTCTATTAACAGTTTTGGATATAATAGTTGATTTGGATAAAATCTTAGATTGATTGACAGTGGAGTCCAGCCATTCCCAAGTGGCTGGAGTTGGGCTGTCAATCAGTGAGAGGGGCTGCAGAAACAGGGAAGAACAAGGGAGGGAATGTCATGATTGATTGAGGAGTTTGTGAATGGGTGGAGTGTCCTTCCATTCACAAGTGCAAAGCTGTCAAGCATCACGTGGGTTTGCACTCCAGGATGCTTTATATATATATATATATATATATACACACAGATATATAAAGGGTGCTATATAAATGCAAATTATTGTTGTCAATCATCTCAGGCCGCCGCTAATTGGTCTCCTTCCCGCCCAATGGGAACGGCAATAATTTTATACGGTGTTTGTTGGGCAGGGATGGTATTACCGTTACCCTCGGACAACTCTTAACAAAGGGACCGTACCCGATGTGTCCGACTTAACCAGCTTCCACTCTGTGCTGCTCTGATGTATTCAAAGAAAAAATCTGGACGTGTATTAACAATTTTTCCTCGTTGCTGTTCTTTCCTATTTAAACTATTTTGATCTCTTGAATTCATGAGTAATAGCATTGATCAACCTTGTTGTTTTCATCTCTATGTGTAGTGCACTGATGTTCACATGGTCAGTGACAGTGAGGGAGATGATTTTGAAGATGCTACTGAGTTTGGAGTTGATGATGGTGAACTCTTTGGCGTGGTGTCCTCAGCTTCAAAGAAGTCTCCAATGAGTAAGCTAAAGCTACTAAAAATATCTAATGCAATCAATTTATTTTCGGTTTACTTTATTAGAATTTAATACTGCATTTAAACTGCTTTCTGCAGTCAGGTTAGTTTGTAGTGAAAAGAAGATATCCAACTCTTATGTGCCAAATTTATCAAATGATCCATGAATGTTTTTTTTCCCAAATTGGATAATTGTTTTTGTTTCATTACCACTAATTCATCTGTTATCTTTGAGCATAGAAGCTTCACCTGAGTATATTATTGGTAAATTCACTTGTTATTTGGTATTCTTTTACAGAAATTTGTGAAGTTTGAAGTTCTTGCAAAGTTTCAATGACTACCATAGTTTCCAAAGTGTGCATTTGTTTTGAATGTTCTCTTTTCATTATCCATGCATTGAGAACTTGGAAGACACCTCTGTTTTTCTTAATATTCCCTGGTGTATCCAGGCTGCATGTGGATAAGAACGCATGTGAATGACCTACTCTGATCCAGCTGGTGGGAGATACAGGGGCATGTCGAAAATGATTTCCTTTTTTTCTTCCGTTCTGTGGGGAGTATCTGGTTTTCACTCAGCACTTCCCATCAATTTGAGATTGGAACCACAGTAGTGCTATTTTGACAAATTATTTATTATTCCAATATTTTTAAGAATGAAATATAGTTACTCAGTAATATGTTGAGTTGAATACGTTCAGGTTTTTAGATTAATTTGTAGAAAACACAACTTAAATGTTATTAAAATTTCAGTATTTTCCTTGATCACAATATAATTTCTTATTGTGGTTATAAGCACTATGTCAAATGGAAGATTGTTATTCAAGTTGGAGTGGAATAGAGGCTAATATTGGAACTACTTTACCAATCTCTAGAAGTTTTTTTTTGAAAACGAACACAATTTTTTTNAATGATAAAATAATGTGTAATAATAATAATTCTTGGATTTGATATAGAGCCTTATCACATCTTTGAGACATCTCAAAGAGCTTCACAGGATACACTGTGAAGTGAATTGACTGTATATATTGTGGGAGCCAATTGCGCACAGCCGTGCCCCATAAACAGTTGTGGGTTTCATAGATTCATAGAATGTTACGGCACAGAAGGAGGCCATTCGGCCCATCGAGTCTGTGCGGCTCTTTGACAGAGCGTCACTTTCACTAACCCCAATCACCAGCTTTCTCCCCATAACGCTGCAAACCCGTCTTCCCCCGATACCTGTCCAGTTCTCTCTTAAAAGCTGTTATCGAATCAGACTTCACTGCCCTATCGGGCAGATCATTCCAAATTCTAACAACTCGCTGAGTGAAAACATTTCTTCTAACCCTAACCTCCCCTCTGCTTCTTTTGGTAGATATCTTAAGACTGTGACCACAGGTCACAGACACACCTACCAGCGGAAACAGCTTTCCTTATCTCACCTGTCGAAACCTTTCATGATCTTGAAGACCTCTATCAGGTCCCCGCGTAACCTTCTCTGCTCTAATGGGAAAAGTCCTAACTTCTCCAGCCTGTCCTCATAGCTAAGGTTCCCCATTCCTGGTATCATTCTCGTGAATCTCCTCTGCACCCTTTCCAGTGCCTTAATGTCCTTCCTGAAGTAAGGTGCCCAGAACTGGACGCAGTACTCCAGCTGAGGCCTAACCAGTGTTTTGTATAGATTAACCATAACTTCCCTACTCTTATACTCTATGCCCTACTAATAAAGCTCAGTACACCAAATGCCTTTTTTACTGCCCTATCTACCTGCTCTGCTACCTTTAATGATTCGCTTACTTGAACACCCAGATCTCTCTGTACGTTCACCCCCCCCCCCCCCCTTAAGATTGAGCTACCAAGTCTATATTGCCTCCTATCATTTTTCCTACCTAAGTGTATCACCTCACACTTATCCACATTGAAATCCATCTGCCACATGTCAGCCCATTCCACCATTCTGTGTATGTCTGCTGCAGTTGGTTACAGTCCTCCTCACTATTTACTACCCGACCTAACTTTGTATCATCTGCAAACTTGGAAATAGTGCTCTCTATGCCCAAGTCCAGATCATTAATATATATTAGAAAGAGCAGTGGTCCCAATACCAATCCCTGGGGACACCGCTGCACACCTCCTTCCATTGCGAGAAACATCCATTAACCACCACCCTCTGCTTTCTGTTCTTAATCCAAACTGCCACTGTCCCCTTAATACCGTGGGCCTCTAATTTTTTATTAATCTCTTATGCGATACTGTGTCAAAAGCCTTTTTGAAATCCATGTAAATAACGTCCACCGCATTTCCCTCATCAACCCTCGCAGTCACCTCTTCAAAAAATTCTATTAGATTTGTTAGGCAAGATTTGCCTTTAACAAATCCATGTTGGGGGTCTCTAATTACTTCATGTTCCTCTAAGTAGAGATTTATTCTGTCCCGGATTACGGTCTCCAGTAGTTTTCCTATTACCGAGGTTAGGCTGACTGACTGTAATTTCCGGGTTTGCCCCTTTTTGTAGAGTGGGGTAACATTAGCCACTCTCCAGTCTCTTGGCACCACTGCTGTGTCCAATGAAGATTAAAATATAATGGCCAAAGCCTCCGCTATTTGAACCCGTATCTCCCACAGCAACCTTGGGTGAAACCCATCTGGTCCTGGTGACTTATCAATTTTGAGCCCAGTCAATCTTTTCAGAACTTCCTCTCTGTCTATAGTAATCTGATCTATGTCCTCTACCCTCTCATCCAATACTGCGGCATTTGGGGCATCCATTTCCGTTGTGAAGACAGATGCATAGTATTCAGCCACAGCCTCTGCCTCCACAACAAGATTGCCGTCATTGTGCTCGATTGGCCCCACCCTACCTTTAACTAACCTTTTTTCCTTTATGTGCTTGTAAAATATTTTAGGATTCCCCTTTATGTTACCCGCTAACCTCTTCTCATGCGATCTTTTAGCCTGTCTTATCACTCTTTTAAGATCACTCCTGCATTCTCTATAATGCGCTTTGCTATCCTCAGTATCTTGCGTCTTCCAATTGTCGTACGCCGTCTTCTTCTTTTTCATCCTAGACAGAATATCCCTGGTCATCCAGGCTGGCTTGGTTCTCGCACATTTCCCTTTTGTGGGAATATATCTATTTAGACCTTGAGCTATCATATCTTTGAAGATCTCCCATTGCTCATGAGTCGTTTTACCTGCTAGTCTTACTTGCCAGTCCACCAACTCTAGGTCCCTTTTTAGCCCATCAAAATTAGCCCTTTTCCAGTCAAGCATTTTCACCCTTGACTGTACTTTGTCCCTGTTCATGAGTAATCTAAATCTAATAATATTATGGTCACTGTTACCTAGATGCTCCCCTACCGAAACCTGTTCAACCTGACCTATTTCATTCCCCAGGACTAGATCCAGCAATGCTTCCTTCCTCGTAGGACTGGAGACATACTGCTCAAGAAAATTTTCCTGTACACAGTCTATGAATCTTTCTCCTACCTTGCCCTTAGCGCTTCTATTTTGCCAGTCTATATTGGGATAATTGAAATCCCCCATTATCACAACTCTGTTCGCCCTACATCTATCCACGATCTGGTTGCAGATCTGCTCCTCTATCTCCTTCCCGGTGTCTGGTGTTCTATAGTAAACCCCTATCAGTGTAACCACTCATTTCTTATTTCTAACCAATTGGATTCTGTTGTTTGGGCCCTCCAGAGCCTCGTTCCTTTCTACAGCTATAATGGTATCCTTAACTAATATTGCCACCCCTCCTCCTTTTCTTCCTTCTCTATCCTTCCTGAACACATTATATCCTGGAATATTTAACTCCCATTCCTGTCCTGGCTTGAGCCATGTCTCGGTTATTGCCACCACATCGTAACCCCCTATGGCCAGTTGAACCTGCAGCTCATCAACCTTATAAGTGACCAAATTATTATTATTTTATTTATTTATCTTAAAGGAATTATTACCCTCGGATAAGCCAATCGACTAACAAGCGGGTTCCTACATACTGCTAGGTAAACAGAGGCATGTGGAGTAAGGAAACTTGCCTTAGGTTTCGCCCTGCCCGGGAATCGAACTCAGGTCCTCTCGCTTGCGAGGTCAGAGCTACAGGACTCCACAAATCTAGAGAATATGAACAAATGTCCTTATGTCACGAAAGCTCAAAACAGTATTGGTTCAAAGCATACCGCCATCGTTTCATTTTATTTCAGAAATGATCATTTACACTATCCTGCAGTGAAATACTGGCAATATGTTAGAAGTAACTTTTTAAAAAAATGGGCTGTCATCTAACTCAATTTTGTGTTTTATTTGCCATCTGCACAGGGTATTATTACAAACCTGATCAAGGCAGAGAGTACAGCATACTACTGTTAAGAATTTTCTACTATACTTTTATATTTTAGGGTAATTATTTCAAGATGGCAAAATGGAAACTGACTTAACAGAAACAAATATTTTGGGGAAACTTAAATCTTGTATTATTTTCATTGGATTAAAAGGAAAGTCGCTTGTGGCAGATCCAGTTGGCCTATAAAAATTAAATTTTACACCCTTGTTCCCATTCTAGTGCCCGAAGAGGCTGAAAATGAGGCCGATGCCTTGTTGCAGTTCACTGCAGAGTTTTCGTCCAGGTATGGTTCCTACTTTGATTTCCTCTTAAAGGAGAGCTCTGTCTTTCTAAATCTACTGCAGAACAAAATTATCTAATATCAGATGGTTGACATTGAAGTTTGATTATCTGTTGCAGTAAACATAAAATAGATTCATTTTTAAATGTTTCTCTTACTAAGCAATTACTGCAAGCACCAATGAACACTGGAATTTTTAAGCAGATTATGTGAGAATATGACCTACGGTTGCACAAACTTAAAAGAATTTAGATAAATATTGGAGGCTACACCTGATCAATCGTATTCTCTGTTTTCAAAAGGTTTTAAATGTGCAAATGGAACATTAAAGCACCAGGGACCTGATAGCCTGATAGGAAAAGTGAGCAGCATTGTCAGACGGGCAGATGGAGGGAGACGGGGAAGCCAGAAACAGAAGTAAACATTTTGAGGCCTACAGTTGTGCAGAGTGTCCTTTCTCTGAATTTTGGGTTGGATTTCAAGTCAGACTGATTCAGAGATTCCGCTTAAAATGAATCCACAGCATATTTATTGCATGGAGTTTGCCTCAAACTGAGGGTAATTACCAATAGGAGAGGCTTGAAGTTGCTTGGTGTGAGAAATGGAAACATTTATATTTGGTGCCGTAGAGCTAAGTGTTCGGATGCATTTAACAAGAGTGATTTACTGTTTGTTTTGCATCTGGGGGTCATGCTGTAGGTACAGCATTCTAGCAATGCTTGCTGCTGGGTGGAAAAGCTGTTTCATTATCCGACAGTTGGTTCTCTTATTATGACCAACATAACAATTGAACTGAACATACAGATTTAAATTTAAGTTAGTGATGCAAAATAGAGTCCAAGAGAGAGGTTGTTAAAATGTGTTAAAACCTTTTTAGAGCTTTGCAATGGTATTGTAATATTTTGCAACAAAGATGGTAAAATCAAGCCTATTATAATGGGGGAGGGGGGGAAAGGGATAATAATAATAATCCTTGCATTTGGTATAGCGCTTTTCACGTCGGGAGGACGTCCCAAAGTGCTTCACAGAACACTGTAAAGTGAATTGACTATATTTGTGGACGAACGTGGCAGCCAATTGCGCACAGCAATGTCCCACAAACAGTCGTAGATTGAAAATGACCAATTTATTATTGTTTTTGGTTTTGGAGGGACTATTATTAGGCTCTGTGTGGAGTAAGGAAACTTGCCCAAGGTTTGGCCCTCTGCCTGGAATTGAACTCAGGTCTCTCACTTGGAAAGCGAGTGCTCTAACCACTGAGCTACAGGACTCCGATACGAGTCACATAAGTTCTCACTTGTTAGTGAGTCCAAAAAACCGGGGCATAAGTACAAGAAGACCACTAGCAGATCTAAGAAACATTTTTACAAAGGGAGTGAGAATGTAGCACTTGCTGCTAGGCGCTGAGGTTGAAGCATGCCTTACAAAGTTTGGTACAGTTTGTTGAATTCCAGCCCTTTTTTATTAGCCGGTCTTTCTTGCTAATTGTCAATCAATACCTAGGTTAGAGGCACTTGGAGAGAAAGGGAGGAGATTTGTGAAGCACTTACTGAAAGTTTGAAGGGGTGGTAACCACCAAATATATTAATCATAATAATCCTTGCATTTGAAATAGTGCCATTTCACGTTGTTGAGGCTCGAAGGGCTTCGCAGGATACACTACAGTGGATTGATTATTTTGTGGGCAAAATGTGGCATCCAGTTACACACAGCAATATCCCACAAAGAGCCAAATTTTGAGGGATTGTTGGCCAGGATACCGGGTGAATCTCTTAGGGTTATCCGTTTGAATAGTGCTATGGGATATTTTAATATCCACCTGAACAGGCAAATGGACCTTGGTTTAACGGTACCCTCAGCATTCCATTGGAGAATCACTTAGACTATGTGATTCAAAGTCCCAAAATGGGGCTTGAACCCCAGCCTTCTGACTCAGAGGCGAGAGAGTTACCACTGCGCCAGGCTGACACACGTTCTTCAAATGGTTCCCAAATTCACAAAAGTTGACCTGAAAATTACAGATTTACTAACTGACCGAAGTAATTGAAAAACTAATGAAATCAATGATTATCAGCAAAATAGATTGTATAAGCATAAAAAGAATCTAGTAATTGCCCCACTCTGAAGTAGCTTCACAAAAGGTAGAAATTAGCTGTCCAATCTCAGATCTTTAAGGAATTGATATCCCAATACAGTAGGAAGCCTAATTATGTAGTTTACCTAGATTTTCAAAAGACGATTGACAAAAGATGCAATACAAGAAACGTGTACTGTACTACAACAATACAGGAGACTTCTTTATAAACTGAAGTGCTCTAAGATACTACAAAAGAAAGATGATTCTCAATGTTAGGGTGAGCTATGAAAATGACGGGATAAATTAGGACTGTTCAGTCTTGAAAATAGACTTTTCAGAGGGAAGTTTGTCAAGGAATGGAAGTGGCTTAATGTGATCGAGAAAATAAATTAGTTTTGAATATGCAAAGGCAGTAGGACAAGTGAACATAGGTTCACTGCTGTGAAAGGCAATTTAAGACCAGGAAATATTTTTCCACATAATGTAATAAATGGGTTACTGGAATAAATGGGTTGGGTGGAGGGCAGGACATGAAGCAGACTTAAGAAACCACTTGTAATGGAAGGACGATCGGGTGGGTAATCTAGAAGAATTATATAAAACAGCCTGAAGGGCCTTCTTTATCCAAACTTATCTTGTGATTTGGATTATCTATCACCACTGATTTCCAACTGTATTCTGGGACCCCAACCTTTTTCTGCTCCTTATATTTGTCTTCCTATCTCACTATCTACCCCCCACCCCCTACTTTGTTGCTGTTCACTATCTACCTCCCTCACTTGCCCATGTGTCTCCCTCACTCCCATTTCCAAATAAAAAAAAATCCAGCTGTTCTATCAGAACTCTGCTGTTATTTTGTTATTTTACATTTTGTTATGTAAAACTGGTATAAACATGGAAATTTTGATTGGATATCAAAGTCCACAATGTTCCCATCTCTGTGTTCTAGGGAGTGTACAACCTGACATAATTTTCTCACATGATCTGCCTGTAAATTCCAAGTCTATGTTAATGGCTGCTATCAGTAATTGCCTGGTAAGTGACATACTGGAAACTCTTTTTACAATAAAAATCAGATTTCTACTATTTTCAAAAAGGTTGTTGAATGTTATAATAATCCTTGATTTTGACATAGCATCTTATCCCATCGTTGAGGTGTCTCTGTAAAGTGAATTGAATGTCTATTTTGTGGGTGAAACATGGCAGCTAATTCCACACAGCAGTGAGTTTTATTGTTAAGTTAAGAATATTAAGTTTTATTGTGAATATATTCCATACACCTAAAGTAATGTCGTTGCCATGGAATTGATCCAAAAGAAAGTGTTTGGAAATTAAGAAATCTATCGATCGCCATGTATCACACACTATTTTGTTTTGCATTAATTAGGTGATATTTAACTTTTAGACAAAGTAAAACTGTCATCAGTCAAACATTAGATCAACTTTAGAGGATGGGATTTTTTTTAAATTGGCAAGGATTTACATTCTCCTTTTGGATCAGGGGATTCTGTCAGATTTATTGAGAGGTTTATTTATCGGATCATGAGTTGTGTGCTGTTTAGGTATTGTTTATTTGAGAGGAGAATATTACTGTCCTATAAAGGAGCTCTCTGATTTTAAATAATTAATTTAGTAGTTCTGCCATTAAGAAAATCATGTGATGGGATTGCAGTTTTGCTCCCTCTTATAAATTTATTTCAGTAGTTTACACATTGTGTTTTTTCAATATAAGATATGCATATTACAGCTTCTGACACCATTTCTGAGTGGTTAGTAAATGGTCCTGGAAAATGCATCTGATTCAACGAGTGAGCAAGATCTCAGAACACATGTGACTTAGTCACAGATGTGATATAAAGGTCTTCTGTTTCATGAGCGAAATGAACCAATCATTCTACAGGATCCTACTTTCTTTATCTGCAAATTGCACATTATTGCTGGATGTTTGTGTGTGAGAATCGAGGATTCAAAATTGAACTCCCCATGTGCTGAACTATAATCTCTGTGTCGGATGAGTTTTCTATTTACACAAGTCTGTTTTTGAGTTTCTGTATGAATATGATCTTTTTGTGGTCAAAACTTGAAAGTGTTGATTAACAAGACATTATTTCCTGCTTAAGAACATAACATTTCTTTGTCGCACGACAGATACGGTGAGTGTCATCCAGTCTTCTTTATCGGCTCACTTGAAGCTGCCTTTCAAGAAGCATTCTATGGGAAAGCCAGAGATGTGAGTGACCTTTCAGGATGTTAACTGTGCACTAATTTTTAATTTCTCTCATTTGAATCGATTATGACATGACACAAACGATCCACAATAAGCTTTCTCTCCCATGATTACTATACCATTGTAAAATCCTAAGTGGCTAATCAGCACCTCCTAATTTCGGGTGCTATCATTTGCACTGAAGAACATTTATATTGAAATGTTCAACATAGAAAAACACTGCAAGTACTTAAAATTCCTAAATTCTAATTTTAGTATACACGAGATTAAAAACATTTTGCGTATGCTAAAATATACAAACTTTGGATTATGAAATTTTTAATTGTTAATTTTAATAGTAAGTGATCCAGCAAAGCTCTACAATAGAGTAGGGGCCCTCAAGCTAATACTTTAGCTTTTTCCTTTTGCTGTATATCCCTCTGCTCCAGCAAAAAATCTCTGAATTAATTATTCCAACCTCAGGCATGTTCACTTGCCGTAAACTTCAAATAGTCTTTGGCAGCTAACAAAGACAATATCAGCTATCTTTTTCAGTTATAAAAGTTGTCACATTATATATGCCTTTTCCAAAGATTTTAGGTTGATTTGAAAATTCTTTAAAGGATTTTAATACTTTAAAGGGCTCTTTTAACAAACTGATTCCCAGCGTAAAGTGCAACTGATGTTTGAGTTTTATTTGAAATTGGCAGGAGTTTTAACACTTCTACAGGGATTTAGTTTCCAAATGAACAGAAATACTGGTACTTTTCTCAATAATAAAAGGCAAAGGAAGTAAATGATTTTATATTGTGGCTGCATAAAATAAAAAAGAAATATGGTGGTTAAGATATTGAAAGCTATTTTGACCTAAATCCACTGGCAGGGCCTTTGAACCTAAACTCATTAAATGTTTATTTGAGTGGTTGGATTACGAAGGATTTTGAAATACCAGCAATTGATATATACTTAATCGCTAAGTAAAACACTACACTTGATGAAGTCTTTCTCACGATGCCACTCACAGTTCATCTAAGCAGGATTCTTTAAACTGATTTTGTAGAGATTAGAATGATGACCTGTTTGACCATTCATTATCTTTTCTGTTTTCACTGTACTATCATTTTTATTAAATGTTCTAGTATAGCTAAGATCTAAAAAACGCATTGCTAATTTAGCAAGGAATATTTGTGTGGGTACCATTGAAAGGAATTTCACCTGGGGACTGTTTCCCAGATTAACTATTTAATGTTGCATTGATTAACTGTTTTAGAAATGGATGAATATCTGGTTAGCAAAACGTTTATAAGGATATGCAATGCTTCACTATAATACCGTTTACTTTTAGGATAGTTGAAGAGGATCCCGATTTACATAGCGTTCTTAGGTGCTTCCCCATGCGAAGGTGCAATATTACTGCAATGCTTACACCAAAAAACAAAAATTTTGATGCTTCAGAAATCCAGGATGCGAGAAGTGACATTTATGACCCAAAAATTTAACTTTTGGGTTCCCGCACCCAATTCGTCTGTTTAAGCCCAACAGAGGCAGTGAATGCAAAAGTATTGACTCGTGATCTTTACAGTTGTACAATGTAATCCAACAATCACATTGTAATGAGCGCTTCTTTATTTGAGCATTATGTGAACTGCAAGGATAATATGACAAGAAAAGCAACTTTTTTTCTGAAATGTATGAGGATGATTGCACAGTTTGGTAGGGATTCATTTGGTTTTGAGGCCAATGGGAGAAAAATACAGTATTGTGGGACCTTTCTCAAGATCAAATGATTTAAGTAGAATTCAACAATTTATGATCTGCAGAATGAAGAAGTGCTTCATGGGTTAAATGAGCTTTTCTGATTCCATACTTTATTTGCTCTTCCCAGTCTCCATATCAGACTAAATTGTGCAAATCTGACATTTATGAATAATAAAACAATAAATTGAGTTTTTCAGAGCTCCATATTTAGTTCATTTGGCAGTTGTTTCTTCCATTTTCCAATATGTAGATAATGTTCTATCGAGGAGGGGTTCAACAAATCCAAAGGATTCCTTTATTTATGAATCTTTTTAAATAATCTTCCTATGTTGTTGACTGCACATTTCTAGCACTAAAAATATGTGTTACAGATTTTGCTGCTTTCTGGGCCTCAGTCATAAGACTCTTTCTTCCAAGGTTTGAAACAGGTCTGTTGCCTTCTACTTGAGGGAAAGTTGAAGTTCTGTTTATCCGAACACTTGTTTCAAACCTCTCCTACACACCAGGAGAGATGGTGCTTTCACTCTTTTAGCACATTTCCTACAGTTTTCCTTCTAGTTTCATCCAACAAATTCTTGCAGTGTTTTTCATGTAAAACAAATGTGTTACAGAGTACACTAATTGGATCAGGTTCACTTCCCACCTACTTGCATTCTTTCTTCCCCCCCCCACCTACCCCCCCCCCAGCAGCTGCTGGATTATCGTTCCTGAAAATGTTCTGAGTGACCGCTCTCACTAACACCTGGCTTGTGGAGTCCTGTAGCTCAGTGGTTAGAGCACTCGCTTTGCAAGTGAGAGACCTGAGTTCAATTCCAGGCAGAGGGCGAAACCTTGGGCAAGTTTCCTTACTCCACACAGAGCCTAATAATAATCCCTCCAAAAACCAAAAACAATAATAAATTGGTCATTTTCAATCCACGACTGTTTGTGGGGCATTGCTGTGTGCAATTGGCTGCCGCGTTCGCCCACAAATATACAGTCAATTCACTTTACAGTGTGTTCTGTGAAGCGCTTTGGGACGTCCTCCCGACGTGAAAAGCGCTATATCAAATGCAAGGATTATTATTATTATTATGTCTTTCATCACTATGTAACTTTTCAAATATGCAAAACCTAGTCTAGGCTCAGAACCAGAGTTTAGCATAACAAATATTGTTTAAAGGTATTCTTGTCTGAAACGTATTGAAGTTTAATTGTTATTAATGCAGGGACCATAGGAGCCCATCTTGATACAGAAGCACACCTCCAGTCTCAGGTCAGATAGAATCATACAATATTACAGCACAGAAGGAGGCAATTGGGCCTATTGTGCCTGTGCGGCTCTTTGGAAGAGCTTCTCCCTCAGTCCCACTGCTCTTACCCCACATCCCTGCAAATTTTTCCTTTTCAAGTACCTATCCAATTCCAATTTGAAAGTTGTTATTGAATCTGTTTCCACCACCCTTTCAGGCAGTGCATTCCAGACTGTAACAACTCTGTAAAAAAAATTCTCCTTGTTTCCCCTCTAGTTCTTTTGCCAAATCTATGTGAAATGGTTACTGACCCACCAGCCAGCGGAGACAGTTATTCTACTGTATCTACTCTATCAAAACCCCTCATAATTTTGGACATAATTTAGATCTAGAATCTAGCTTTTGAAGACGATGTTCTCAAGTCTGTGCACCAGTTAAAATACATTCAAAGTTAGCTATCTTGGCTGAGTGAATTTGGTATCTGGACATATGGGATTTCTGTTGTCAACCAATTTAGTTGATTCAGAATGCCCTGGATGCCAACTGTCACTCAACCAGTTTCATGCCTCACCTGGCCTATCGCATGGAGTTTTTGTCACTGCTGCATAATGGGGCGGCCCTAGATCCTGTGTAATTAATGACTGAAATGGGTTACCAGGAAGGATGGTAGAGGCCCTAGAGTCATTTATGAAACCACTTCATATGCACATCTTATTTTGGTTTATATTGCTGCTTCACATTCTGGAAATGAATGTGCTAATCTTTTGATTTCAGGATAAATTATGTGTAAACTTTAAAATCTTTTTCTTTTCTCTTTGCAAGCTAGTATTTTGTCTTGCAGAGAGGAGGGACTCTTAAGTAAGAATTTATGTATAAGGAGTGTGACAGTTTCACAAGACCTTTTCTAATAGTTTATAGTGAAAAAGAGAAGGAAAACCGTCTGCTTGCCATAAAAGCAACAGTACTACAAAGAACAGATTAAGGGTTTAGAAGAGGTCAATGTGGGTTTTCCACTAACTAAATACTTTCTTAAAGTTTCGTATGCAGAAAATAATGAAGTCATCTAAGAGTTTTTAAAGAATTTTTATTTCTTTTTACTCCCTGCGTTTGGTTGTCTGCTCAGCATGGGTGTTTAATCTTTCCAGGCTTTTGAATTGGCCCCAATGAATGAGTGGGTAGCTGTCTCTCTATGAGCTAGGAGCTTATTCTGAGGCCTAATCACTGAGTAAACATAGCCTTGCCCTCCCTCTCTAACAACCTTCACACAATAGCAGAGATTCTAGTGAAGTAACCTGGATATTGCATACTGAGCTTTGAAATGCAGAATGGATGAGCTGCAGAACAGACTGGCTGATCTTCTTCGTCTCTTTTTAATTAAACACCACAAAACCGGCCTTGTTTGTTATATCCCGAGGAGAAATTGTGCATCAGCAGCACAGGATTCCAAGTTCAGATTTGGTTAATATTGTCTGCTCCTGCTAACACTGCAAACTGCCCACATTTCAAGGGCAATCGTTTTACCAGATATACACATTTTGGTGACATTTTAAGCAACTAATGTGACTAAAGACTGTTAGTGGAAGGCAGACTGAGTGTGTGTCCCTTGTTGCCAAAGATCTAGCAGTGGTTTAATATGCTATAATTTTCTAAAATATACTGTATTTGTATATAAGATTTTCCTATAAATACCAACTGCTAAAACGTAGTGGAAACCAGTTTATTGTATGATGCAGGCTTTATTTTAAAATGTTGAATTAAAACCGTACTTCCAGTTATGTTTTTCCAATGCATTGCACAATTGTTCTGTCAGATTTTTACCAAGGGAGAGCAATGTAATCTTTGTGTAAAGTGTTTTCTACTTTTGTTAACATTCATTTAAGGAATGAGTAAATAACCAACAATGCAACAAAGGCTAATCAGTCATTTTAGCTGATTCTGATTCTGATCTATTCGTATTCCTACTTCGATCATACCTTTAGCAAACTAGCTGTTGTTTGTCATGCAAAATTAATATTTGCAAGAGTTACTGAACAAGTAATGTAGAATATTTCATGCTTTTTAACCAAGAAACATGGTCTGTCAAGTTTTAGTTTCAGAATTTAATTACTCATTGGCCTGAAATTCTCTGTATTTTGTGTTAAAGTTGAGGTCACGATTTGTGGAAATTTCTTAAGTCCTGTCTAAATGTGGAAGACTTCTTTTCAAGAACTGCAGAGGGTTGGGCTCCAAATTTTGACTGAATTTAAGAATTTCCTACAATTGTACATAACCTTAAATGTTGAGAATTGGTCATGTAGATCACTTATGTTGTATTTTTTGTGGCAATGATTAATACGTTGGATCTCCTTTTTTTTCTTTACCAGAGAAAGCTGCTTGCCATCTACCTCCACCATGATGACAGTGTTCTTACAAATGTATTCTGCTCGCAATTACTGTGTGCAGAATCTATCGTCTCCTATCTCAGTCAAAATTTTATCACTTGGGCATGGGATGTGACCAGAGAAGCTAACCGAGCAAGGTAATCGATTTTATTTTTAAATTGCTCCAAAATGGCATTTATTTCTTAAGTAATATATATCCCAAAAAATATATTGTTGTACTCCCTGGATGTAGAATGCAACAGAATCTATTCATCTTAAGCTGAAACTCTTGAATAGGCCTCTGCGGTAATATGTGGAAAGGATGACAGCTCGTGTGTGTCACATTTTTAATAGAAGCTTGAAAACTGAAATGAAAGTGATGGATTATTCGGGTAGATCAAGTCCATTTCTAAGACTGAATGATGGACATATAATGTTTACACAGTATCGCTGTTGCCTTCTCCAGCAAATATATCTAATTCCCCACATATTGGGCATTTCATCTTCCAACACTCTGACTGAAGTGCCATTGGAGCCAATGTCTTTCTGCAAGCGCTGACTGCCAACCGCACCCAGTTACAGCCCTTGTTGAACTTTATTGATTTTCCCCCTCCCAACTACCATCTTCTAATGAGCTTCCATTCTATTATAATGGATTATTATAAGTGTGAAGTGTTGACACTTTTTATTTGGTAATTAGTCTCCAGCTGACCACCAGTGGGCAGTGTTGAGCTCTTTGTCTTATCCCACAAAGTTGTCCGGCATGAATACCCATTTTGCAGTCTGTACCAATCTAGATCAGTTGGCAGCTTGCAGACTTTTTTTTGATTATTTTCTATTGAAAGCATTTTTTAATCAAAAAATACATGCTTGATGATTGGTATTTGAAGTATGTTTACGAAGATGATACACGTTGTTTAGGGAAAGGGAGAACCATAATTAATGTATGCAATCTGGATTACTAAATCTCCCTTAACTCCTCAATCCCCCTCTCCACCCAACCCAACTCCATTTCCTACCACCCCTGGAAAAAATCTCCCCCCCCCCCAGGCTGAGTTCAGTCATCTGATCTCCTCCCTGTCTGGGCTTCCTCCCGCATTGGTCCATCTTCCTTCGTCACTCTCCTCCACAACTCTCTCTCCACCACGCTTGATGTCCTTGCTCCCCTCACCTCTCTCTCCACCTCCTACTCATGCAACGTACACCAGTCACCTCTGTTCCCTCAAGGCACAAGGGTGTGCCACCAAACGCACCTGGCTCAAATCTAATTTAATGGTCCATTGGCAGATCTGGCTGGACCACAACAAAACTTCCCACCTTGCCCTCACCTCCACTAAATTGGACTTCTACTCCAAGATAATCTTGGAGGCCGAGGTCAACCCCAGGCCCCTCTTCTCCACCACCAACCGGCTCCTCCCCCACCCTCTCATGCCTTGCCCATCCGCTCCTCCAAAGCCAAACACGAGGAAATGCTGGACTTCCTCGAATCCAAAATTGAGTGGATCCTCAGCCGCTTCTGCTCACAATACAGAAACAGCCCTGGTCAAAGTGACAAATGTGAACACACCAGGTGGACACAATTATTGTCCTTGACCTCAAGATTATCTTGGAGTGGAAGAATGATTTAGTGAGGGCAGAGCTGTAAATTTTGATGTGGTCCAGCCAGTTTTGGTGTGGTCTAGAAAAATCTGCCGATGGACCATTAAATGACATTGCATCCTCTGCCTTCTCGTCCTCCTTGACCTCTCTACTGCCTTTGATAGTTGGCCACTCTACCCTCCTGCACTGCCTCCTCACCTCAATCTTGGTTCTGTCCTTGAATGGTTCAGATCGTACCTCTCACACCGTCTCCACCTTGTCTTCACAAACAGCTTATCTTCCACCCCCGCACCGTCTTGTGTGGAGTTCCTCAGGGCTCTGTCCTTGGTCCTCTCCTCTTCGACTTGTATATGCTCCCTCTTGGTGACATCATCCGCAGACATGGGGTCAACTTCCACATGTGTGCAGACGACACCCAATTCTATCTCTCTGCCTCCAGCCTTGACTCCGGGACCCACCAACAATTGAACATCAACAAGCCCAAAGCTCTCCTGATTGGCTCCTGTCAGCGCCTCCACACCTCAAGCACTGGCAGCATCACCATCCATGGATACACACTCCACCTCACTGAGCCTTGGCATCTTGTTTGACCCTCAACTGTCCTTTTTCCCCTACATCTGGGCCATTACACACTCTACCTTCCCATCTCTGCAGATCATGTAGAACTCTGCAGCTCATGTCCTCTCCCGTACCAGGCTCCGTGACCCTATCACCCTCACCTGGCTCTACAGGCTCTACCCCCTCCTTTTGATATTTCATCCCATATTCTTTTTACCTCGTTCCCTCCCGTGCCTCCTTCAAGACACATCTCAAAATCCTCCTTTCGATCTGGCCTTCGGCCACCCTCCCTGCCCTCCACCCTCCCTCCCTGCCCTCCACCCTCCCTGATCCCAGCTCCAGTCCAAATCCCTGTCTGTCCATCGCCTTGGGACGTCCTCCCGTCATGAAAGGCGCTGTACAAATGTAATTTTTGTTGTATTAGCCCAAGAGATTGTTTGTTTTGTGCTATTTGGGGCTAGTTTTGTTCACATGTTAGATCCCAGCATGCTTGTGTGTTTGTAAGATAAATATAGATAGCTACACGGTAATGCAAATATTGGGATTTGTGTCACCTCCTTCTCCTCGAGTATTAAGCAGCCGGGCACCTTTCAGGAGCAGGTTTTCCTCACCTGTTATTCCCACTCACCAAGCAATTAACCATATTCACAGCTGCTGACCCTTGGCATAAATAGGCCTTTGAATGCTGCACGCCTGGTTGGAGACCAGTTGACCGTGCCTGGTCCCATTTGACCCACTTGTAAATCCACAGGTGTGGCCTCTGTGCACAGAACTGCTTCCAAAGTTAGATGTCGTCCTGCTGCTTAGCTTTCTGAATAGGGATTTCGCTGTAGGTAGTTAGGAAACAGATGGAGTTTAATTGTTATTCTGTGGACAAGGACAGAGGGGCACATGATCTGAACTGTTTTCCAGTAGAGTAGTCAACTAAACGGTCTGCCTGTGCACGTTGTGTTTAGAAAGAGGTAGTTAAAGTATCAGCCTTATTTAAGTCTTTCCCCCCCAGTTGAGTCCTTTACAAACTATTTTACAAGAGATTAAGATTCCACAACATCTGGAGCTTTTGTCACTTTCCCACTGTTTCTTCCTGGGTTCTTATTTTATTTTGGGGGGAGGGTTCCTGTTACCCATGGATTATTTTGGACACTCTCATTTTCTCTCTTTCTCCACAGCTTTTGATATCAGCTCAGCCTTAACAGAATGTCTAGATCAATTTGCAGTTTTGGTTTAACTTAAGATTTGCTTTTTCCAACAGCATTTATACGTTTGCAATGTCCTTACAAACAAGCTAGTGTATTGCTGTAACCTCAGAAGCTCTAAAAAACTATCGAAGGGGCAGCATCTAATGATTTCATTAGTGTAAGGTTTCAGATTGACTTGTTCCTTCTCCTTGTCAACTATTCATAATCACTGCACTCTATTGTTTGAAGGTGCCCTTGTAAATGATTTCTTAGCAATCCAGAAGGGTATTTGTCTCAGTAAAATAATGCTGCAGACCTTGTTCAGATAATTGGTAAGAGAGTTTGACTATGTAAGGTGTTCCAAACTTTGAAAGTAGATATGGAGTTAAGATATCAATGGACATTTATATAAGATCATGAGCTAAAATTGACACCTCTAGTATACAGAATGCAAAATGTTGGTATCCACTGATGCACAGGTGAGTTTAATGAGTATTTGTGGAATTGTTTTATGGATTGTAATTCAATTTTTAGTTTAACCACCAGAACAATAAATCATTGTCATAAAATGTTACCAAAAGTTTAACTTTTGTTTAAAAAAAAGGAGCTGGGCATTGTGTATACAAGATCTCATACACTTAACATTAATATATAATAATAATAATCCTTGCATTTGATATAGCGTTTTTCACGTCTTCCAGACGTCTCAAAGCGCTTCACAGAATATACTGTAAAGTGAATTGACTGTATATTTGTGGGCGAACGCGGCAGCCAATTGCGCACAGCAATGTCCCACAAACAGTCGTAGACTCTGTGTGGAGTAAGGAAACTTGCCCAAGGTTTCGCCCTCTGCCTGGAATTGAACTCAGGTCTCTCACTTGCAAAGCGAGTGCTCTAACCACTGAGCTACAGGACTCCACGTATACTTCAAGTCCCATAGAAAACTTGTTTTCACATGATCAATTACTTTTACAAAAAAACTATTCCATTATACTTTAGTAATCCTTAACTTTTGTTCCTAATTGGCTGATACTGAAAGCTACGAAGCATTGAATGTGCATTAGCTTTTAATTCTTGTGTTTTTGGTATTCAGATTCGTATTTTTGTTCAATTGGTAGTTTTCTTACCTCGAGGTCAGACGGTTGTGGGTTTGTGCCTTACATCAGCTATTGAACACATAAACTGGGCCAATAGAAAAGTGTGGAAATATTTACCCCAAATTGCAGGGAGAAATGGAAGATTGTGGGGGAATTTTTGTCAAACTTTGCAGAAAATTGCTGGGTGTTGATAATAGGTGCTATTGAGGTACATTTTACTGCCAACTGCATTATTTTCATTTTACTAATTAAAAACTAAACATGAGGAATAACACATATTGATTGTTGCAAAAAAAAATTAATTGCTTCTTTAAGAAAAACTGGGTGGCCCACGTTTTTGAGTGGGGTTGTTTGAGCTCACCACCTCCTGCCTCTCAGATCCCGGCACCACAAACAGACCCGGACACCCAGAGAGAGACACACAGACTTCCATAGACACTCACAAGCACATAGTGAGAGATGCACACACCAACACGGGGGTGGGGGAGAGAGAGAGATGCACACACAGACATACACAGGCAGATACAAACAGGCACTCACAAACACAGAGACACGCGCACAGGCACTCACAAACACAGACACACACACAGGCACTCACAAACACAGACACACACACAGGCACTCACAAACACAGACACACACACAGGCACTCACAAACACAGACACACACACAGGCACTCACAAACACAGACACACACGTAGACACTCATGCAGAGAGATACACAGACACTCACAAACACAGACAC